TAAAAGCCTGCAGTGGGGTAGCCCAGGGATCGGTACTTGGGCCTTTGCTGTTCGTACTCCTTGTTAACGATCTAGCTCAAAGGCTACAGTCGTCGTTGTTCCTATTTGATGATGCTAAAATTATAGGTAGGTCAACCGGGGATGTCATACAACAGGACTTAGACACATATTCAGACTTAGATTCAGCAGGCATGCTCAAGCAGTCACACTGTGGTACACCAATGCTTGCAGCATACGGGATAAGTGGGGAGAGGTGCGACGGAGCATCCCAGGTATAGACAATGTGGCCATAACTGAATCATTGCTGAGTCCGAATGGCATACGGAGGAACTCAAATGGGCCGAAAGGTGTCACCGCTGCGGTTTTAGGAATGTCTGCCTCCGCCACCGGAATTTGGTGGTATGCGTGGACAAGGTCGATGCGACTAAATATAATAGAGCCAGATAGGGAGGAAGTAAGATCTTGTAAGTGGGGGATGGGATACCTATCTGGGACGGTGACTCGGTTAAGGGCTCTATAGTCACCGCAGGGACGCCAGTCGCAGTTGCTTTTGGGGACCAGACGAAGAGGAGAGGCCTGTAGTGACCATGATTGTACGAAGAAAAGGAGCAATCCACGAGGACGTTTTCCGTTCACATTCTTTTCACAATCAAATCTGACTCCAACTGTGATATTTTCTTTGTTTTACTTCTGTTTGTTTTACCGAGCACGGTTTTCCGCTCAGGCGTATATATAAGCTGGGTCCTGTTCAAACCCACGCTACACGTGTGACACGCTATCGCTCTGCTACTGCATTTGTTGCTTGCTTTGTTTAGCGTCACCTTGGCACGTTTCGGTACTATCTAGTACCACGATTCGCCAATAAACGTCTACGACGCCCACGAGTGTTTTTGTCTATTTCGGGCAACGAGACACTAGGAGATCGCGCGATACTGAGACCCGTAAGAAGACATACCGGCAGGCCGTCAACATCCGGTTAGCTTCAGGCCCAAGGGCTGTGTGAAGGGCGAATGATGCCCAGTTCGAGTACGTGATCGAACTCTGCCCTAGCTGCTTTCAGCTTGTCCGGTGCAAGACGACGTCGTCTTGCGAAAACCGGTCGGCCTTTGGTGAGAATCTGGTGGGTGACGTCGGTGGTAACCGCAGGGATTGGACCTGACGAGTGCATAAGGCTGGGATACGTAGCAAACAGGTCGCTGTACGAATCCTTAGGGAGCTGTGCGACGTGAAGCGGAGTGGTAGAGTTCACGGAAGCGTA